ATATAGAAACTTCTGACTTTCAGAGAAAGGTAAATAAAAGTTTATGGCAATCATGTATTCGCCCCACTCGCCATATAACGTAGAGAGTGATTGGCTTCGCTCCTCGATACAAATCAATTGTGGTTAATAAAGGTTCTTTCAACCAATTTGGAACGATATCTAAGGCAGATTAAATCTCCGCTTACGCGTTAGTAGCGCGAAATATATCGCGCGTTAATTGTCCCAAATTGGCCAAAATGACAATCTTTAAACCCTCATAATTTTACAAAAAAATAATCACAGGTGAAATCTCTTTTCAAACATAAGCTGAAGACAACAATTCTGTTTGAATGATATTTAGAACAATTCCGTCAAAAATGGCTTGATAAAAAGTCGAAACTTGTCTGAAAAAAAAAAATTGTGCTCAATATTCCGCTACTTTCTTCACGAAAGTCGGAACAAAACTTTACACTAACGTCAGTGTTATCTTTTTATTCCGACTTTCGAAACAATAGTTACAAAATATTTGTGCTCTCGATTGATTTTGAAATCAACTTTAAACGATTCACGAGTACGCAAGAACAAGGCGCTTTTATTGAACGAATTGTAGCATTCGTTCTTGAAAAGCACATTGTTTTTGCATTCTCGTGAATCATTCAAAATTGATTGCAAAATCAATGCTAACAAACAAAGTACACAGAGATTGCGACCTAATTAAAATAGTTGAATAAAATTACTAGTTTTTAACTATATGAAACACTATTGAAACACGGAAAATGAAATATGAAATACAGCAAAATGAAACTCTAAAAGGCACGATCTGCTGATAAGTCAATAGAGAAAGTTATTGTTCTTACCTATTTAGTTTAATTAGTTCCAATTGGAATTTTATTTAAACTTATTCATACAGTCACTCTCTAATAATAGATAGTTTGCCTTTTGAAGTTTATTCGACTCATTTTCAATCCAATTTTTCAAATTAGCACTGCCAACAATACCTGGTCGGAACAGTGTGTGGGCTTATAAGTTTCATGGAACTGTTTTTTCCTTTTCATTTTGGGTGGTTTGGAAATCAAAAGCTACGAAAAGCTTGCAAACAGTTTAATTTTGCTTGGATGTGGATAAAATTTTGGGTCACCGTATCTGATTTTTTTTTAACCCCCTGCCAGTTACCCTACCCCAACCCAACACAATTCTTCAGTTTTCCAATCCCCCGTCCCAGTTCAGCCACTGAACCCCTCATTCTACTTGAACGTGGTCGTTTTCGGCTGCAATTATGGAAACACGAGAAAGTTATAGACGCAACAAATGACCTGAAATAGCAAAAAAAAGAACTTCGCTTAATATAATAACTTAATAGAGTACGTGGGAAACATACTATACTAAAACCAGCTAGATAGCTTCTAATAAATTCTTTGCAATTGACAGAAACCACATTTACTGATAAAGGTTTTTAATATATTTTTTCATCTTTAAATTGCACCTTGGAATAATTTGCTTTGCGTCAGTTAATTTGAATGCTTCAAAAACATCGTTATCTAACTGATTTTAATTAACTGTTGAATTATAAATGATGGCTCATAAATGAGCAAAATGTAAAATAAATTTGCTGGAAAAAAAGCATTTTTAAATCTAATTTTTTGTTTGTTCAATCCAGCTTTTTTTGCCCCAAGTTTTTCAGGCAGATACTTTGTCCAATAATAAACTTTCCTAATTTGTGCTTGCGATTAACTTTTTTGGAGTTTCTACCTCCCAATTTATTTTCTTGTCGGTATGCAGAAAAAATTATCTATAACTTCAGTTAGCATTCTGGATACGGTTGTTTGGTAGATTCTATTTTTTGTTCATCTTTCATTTTAATTGTGAAAAAACGCTAGTTTTAAAAGTAATTTTCAAGTTTTGATCGAAAATATGTCTCTTTTTTTATTTGTTAGTTTAACATTTAGGCGCTGCCAAATATATACACGAGCGAATTACAATAGCTGAAATTATATCTAAAATTGAATTTCTTTTGGGGCGATTATACAAAAAAAATATTCAAAACAGTGCGAGACATCGAAAAAATCCTAAAAAGTAGTCCCATACAAAACAGTCCCCAATATCATTTGAGTTTTTTACCTTGATTTTTTGGCGCCGACATGAGATCATTGGCGGCAAACATGGCGTAAAAAAAATAACAAAGGTTGATTTGATCTAATCATATTCATTAAGTTTTTGTCGAGTTTTTGGTATTTATTTTTTTTGGGTCTAGCTACTTTTTGTCCGTGTCTGTACAGCAATGCTATTGACAACATTCCTGTACAAAATTATTTGAAAAATCATATGAAAGTGCAAACAGGCCCTTACAAAACAGTCCTAAAAATAGTTCCAGAAATTTATGATAAAATTTCGCTCGGATCAAATAAATTTTTGGGGCGATTATACAAAAAAAAATATTCAAAACAGTGCGAGACATCGAAAAAATCCTAAAAAGTAGTCCCATACAAAACAGTCCCCAATATCATTTGAGTTTTTTACCTTGATTTTTTGGCGCCGACATGAGATCATTGGCGGCAAACATGGCGTAAAAAAATAACAAAGGTTGATTTGATCTAATCATATTCATTAAGTTTTTGTCGAGTTTTTGGTATTTATTCTTTTTGGGTCTAGCTACTTTTTGTCCGTGTCTGTACAGCAATGCTATTGACAAAATTCCTGTACAAAATTATTTGAAAAATCATATGAAAGTGCAAACAGGCCCTTACAAAACAGTCCTAAAAATAGTTCCAGAAATTTATGATAAAATTTCGCTCGGATCAAATTACTTTTTGGGGCGCTTATACAAAAAAAAACATTCAAAACAGTGCGAGACATCAAAAAAATCCTAAAAAGTAGTCCCATACAAAACAGTCCCCAATATCATTTGAGTTTTTTACCTTGATTTTTTGGCGCCGACATGAGATCATTGGCGGCAAACATGGCGTAAAAAAATAACAAAGGTTGATTTGATCTAATCATATTCATTAAGTTTTTGTCGAGTTTTTGGTATTTATTCTTTTTGGGTCTAGCTACTTTTTGTCCGTGTCTGTACAGCAATGCTATTGACAAAATTCCTGTACAAAATTATTTGAAAAATCATATGAAAGTGCAAACAGGCCCTTACAAAACAGTCCTAAAAATAGTTCCAGAAATTTATGATAAAATTTCGCTCGGATCAAATAACTTGTTGGGGCGCTTATACAAAAAAAACATTCAAAACAGTGCGAGACATCAAAAAAATCCTAAAAAGTAGTGCCATACAAAACAGTCCCCAATATCATTTGAGTTTTTTACCTTGATTTTTTGGCGCCGACATGAGATCATTGGCGGCAAACATGGCGTAAAAAAAATAACAAAGGTTGATTTGATCTAATCATATTCATTAAGTTTTTGTCGAGTTTTTGGTATTTATTCTTTTTGGGTCTAGCTACTTTTTGTCCGTGTCTGTACTGCAATGCTATTGACAACATTCCTGTACAAAATTATTTGAAAAATCATATGAAAGTGCAAACAGGCCCTTACAAAACAGTCCTAAAAATAGTTCCAGAAATTGATGATAAAATTTCGCTCGGATCAAATAACTTTTTGGGGCGCTTATACAAAAAAAAAACATTCAAAACAGTGCGAGACATCAAACAAATCCTAAAAAGTAGTCCCATACAAAACAGTCCCCAATACCATTTGAGTTTTTTTACCTTGATTTTTTGGCGCCGACATGAGATCATTGGCGACAAACATCGCGTAAAAAAAAGATCAAAGGTTGATTTGATCTAATTTTTTTTTTTAGAATTTTTAGTATTTATTCTTTTTGGGTCTAGCTACTTTTTGTCCGTGTCTGTACAACAATGCAATTGACAACGTTCCTGCACAAAATCATTTGAAAAATCATACGAAAAAGCAAAAAGGCCCTTAAAAAACAGTCCTAAAAATAGTTCCAGAAATTGATAAGAAAATTTCGCTCGGATCAAATAACTTTTGATTCCATTTTATCCGGATGAAAATAGGTAGTATATCAAAAAAATCAAAACCATCTAGATAACAGCAGCGTCCCATCATTAAAACATTAACCTGCGAAACAAAAAAAAAGACAAAATTAGCAAAAAAATTCGTAAAACTATTCAACGGCAAGCACACTTCCTTTCCAAAACTCATTGAGAAGTTCGATGACGATCCAAATCATGCCAAAATTTTACTAGAAAAAATGAGCACAGAACAAATATGGGATTATATAGGATTGTTTATTGGACTTTGAAGTGATTCTTTGGACTATTTTGTATCAGACTGTTTTGTATTGGACTGTTTTGTACAGACACGGTTTTTCATGGGCTTTCACGCTCTAGTTACTAAACTATTATAAAAATGAGTTTTGATTAAGAGCTGATTAATTGTTCATTGAAATTGTAAATCTCATTCTTTTGTCTATTTTTGCCTCGTAAAACATTTGCGTGAATAAAACATTTTTTTTGAAAGTGGTGTCTTTATTAGTTTTAATTATCTATCCAAACTACAGATTTCATAGAATTGAGCAGCACCTCGATTCTTTTGCAGGCTTTTGTCCGTCAAAATTTGGCTGAAATTGTGGACCATTGCTGGCTAAAACACGGCTTCTATGTTGTTCTAAAATTTTCTTGCCCATTTCCGAGAAACCATCAGAAACGTTATCACCGATCTTTGCCGACGTCTCAATGTACTTAAAATGACTCTTTTTCCATTTTATTCTATCTGCATTCTAACGTTCACAATTTATTTGGAATTTTTTTTTCTTCAATTTTTCAAAATTTTAACGGATATGAAAGTACGGAATTAAAAAAGTGTAAAATCAATTTCCATTTTTTCTAATTCAATAATTCGAAGAGGAAACCGAATAAAATTGTCTCAACCTCGAAAGCCAAAATACAAGCCTTATATTTATGTTAAAAGAAAGAACCAAAAGCTCAAGTATCTGTAGTCAAATTTTGTATCCAAGTTGTGCGAAAAGTCAAGATTTACCACATTAAGTGCACTATGTCAATTTGCATTTAAACTGCATAAATCAAGTTGTGGTCAAATTTTGCGGAAAAGAGGAGAAAATGAAAAAGAGCCTTGAAGTTATGGTGGTCTGCGAGCGTCTGTGCTTCGACTGTGGTCACCTCCCGCATCACCTCAAGGTCACTCTTGTTGCCTATGAGCAGCACTGGGATGTCGGTCTTGGCCATTCCTCTGACGTCATTGATCCAGGAGGGAACGCTGGAAAAGCTTTTGCGACTTCTGCACAAAAATAAGTGACGAAATAAGACTGTTTTCAATTCAAAAGTTATCTAGATCTAAGTTTCGTCCCCTCGGATGATCGATAAAAGCTCAAAAAAACGTATTCTTTTTTATCTTTTAAAAGCGTCTGTCATAACTTGTCAAAATCAAAAAACTTTTTTTTTGGACAAATTATCGTTGTTGGCATCTGTTCGATAACGCCCTTATGAAGTACTAATTCAACGTTTATTCGTTCTGACATTGAACCGGGTAAATATTTCCCTTCTATTTTATCGATTTACCTGAATCTTGTTTATAAATAGTAAAAAAGGAACTGTAAATATTTATTACGTGAGGTCGAACACGACTGCTACTGCGTGTGCTCCCCTGTAGTAGCTGCTGGTAATACTTCTGAACCGAGACTGACCAGCTGTGTCCCAAATTTGCATCACTACCTAAATTAGCAAACGTCTGTAAACCTAGCTGCAAAAACAATTTTCATGCAGACTGAGATTCCACGCAAAAAATCCTTTTAAACCCAAAATTATAAAAAGTGAAGGTCCCTCTTTTCCCAATTGGGAGACAAGATTTAGAGCCTGATCTTCAGTTAATTAACTTCAATGATTAAAGGCAGCCGACACAGAAAAAATTGTATTAGAGCTAGGTTTAATTGTTCCCGCCATTGAAAATGCGGAGGAACTTAGTATGCAATTGTATTGTAACCTGATTATAGTAAAAAAAAAACTTATCTTAGAAATTTAATTTTGCGCTTACTTGGCAGTAAATTTTTTCTAAAAAATTCAAATTAAAATTCAAAAAAAAGTTTTTTTATAACGTTTTTTTATTCATTCAATTTTTGGGGACAAAAATTGTCAATTATGTCTAATTCACTACACTTTTTCTTGCTATTTGTAGTTTTTTTTACAAATATGATTGGAACATTCTGTGCCACTCGCACAGAAACTGGCTATCCTTGTTTCAAATTGCCTTCTAATACTACCTAGTGTGGATCGGCTCTTTAGTATATTCAATTGCCATATGGCCACTTAAAATGTAACAATTATTTTTTTGCGAAATATAAGTTCGTTAAATCCAGTTAAAATTGAAAAAGTATGAATTAGGTTGAACTTTTTATTTGGAAAATAAGAAATTTTTTCCGAGCAAATAAGGCTAAATTACGACCGATAGTTTTGAATAAGCATGCTGGCAAGAAAATGATTGAAATTGATATAACTTATACATATTCACTTAATTGTCTAAGGGACATAATTTTGATCTGGTTTTACATTGAAAAATAGCTAAGACAATCAGATTGAATTGATTCTAAAAGTTGAATTTTTATTTGAAAAACTGTGTTTTGTAATTTCTACAATTAAGTCTGGTTATGTCTGGTTTTTCTACATTTGAAACATTGGGAATTTTTTTTTTACTTTTTTGAACACATTTTATACAGTTTTCGCACACTTAAGATATTATCAAATTGAACTACTCTGCAACTTTATATATTAATAAACCGATAAAAATTGAGTTTTATCTGCCGTTTTTTAAACATTTTCAAAGAAATTTCTTACAATTTTCGTATAATTAAAAAAATGAAGGAAACTTTTTCAAAGATATTTCTTACAGTTTTCGTATATTTAAAAAAAATTAAGGGAAAAGCAGCAGGCAGTATAACAAATATTGGTGTCATTGGAATGCGAAACGATTGCTTGGAGAAAAATTGCTAAAGTTTTACAAACAAGGATACAAATATTTTTTTATATCAAGCAAATTGATTTTTCAATCTCTCCCAAAGCACTAAAAGTCCCTGTTTTGGCCAAATTTCTGCGACGCAGGCAAAATTTAGAAAAAAACTTGCAAAAAAGGCGTTTTTATGTACTTTTTGGAATTTAATTACAAAAAAACTACAATTTTTTGGTGCGCGCTCAACCTTCCAAATTAATATATATTGCCACCAAAGGTGCCTTTAGAAAAATTTTAGGGTCCCTCAACCAAAACTGGATGGCTCAAAATAGTTCAAAGAGGGACTCTTTGGGTCGGCAGGGGATGGAAATATATATAACTATTTAATTGTATCAATATTTTTGAAGTTTTGATTGTTTTTATATTTTGCGGAAAACCATTCAAATCGTTTTTTTTTGGTTTTACCGCGGATCTTTTGATTTTTTTTTCTTGTTCAATTTCATTGAAACTCAATTTAAAAAACAAATGAGCTTTTGGAACTGTTTTTCATATTGCAAATTTTTTTCAAATTTTTTGTATTGCAATTTGAAAAAGGGTTTCATCGAGGAGTGGCTTGCTTTTTTGTTGATTAAATTGGTTTCCGGTCTCTGCTAAAAAGCCAAAAAGACCAATTCTAGAAAAAAAATTACAAGAATGAGGGAAAAAGGCAGTTAGTTTTGGTACTTTTTTTTGAACGTTTCGACCAAAAACAGCTATTTAGTGGGGCAGGGGCGGATCTAGGATTTTCTCGAGGGGGGGGGGGGGGGCGGATTTTCAAAAAATTTTCCAAAATTTTGACAACCTTTTTTTTTTTAGGTCGACCAAATTGATTTTTCGAGTTCTCCCAAAGCACCGTTTTGCCCCTATATTGGCTAAATTTTCTGTGCCGCAGGCAAATTTTTAAAAAAACAGTCAAAAAAGCCGTTTTTGGGCACTTTTTGAAAAATGTTGACAAAAAAATCGCTTTTTTTTTGGCGCGCGCTCCCCCTCAAAGTTAGAATATATTGGCGCCCAAGGCGCCTTTAGAAAAATTTTAGGGTCGGTCGGCCAAAATGGATTTCTGAAAAAGTATCAAAGGGGGGACCCTTTGGGTCGGCAGGGGGTCGAATCCCTGAGGGTGAGGCGTCCGCCCCCCCCCCGCCCCCCCCCCCCCCCCCCCTAAATCCGCCCCTGTAGTGGGGGCGTTACCCTCTAAAAACAAGTTTAATCTGAGTCTCAAGACGCCTTTTAGAAAAATTTTACATTTGGTTGGCCAAAATTTTAATTCGTTAAATAGTATCGTAGGGGAGGTTTTGGTCTGTGAAGGGATCCATTTTTTGGCAGAGTATTTGTCACCTCTCACTCTGTTCCAGAAATTTTGCTCCAATTTTATCTAACAAAAACAGGCCTAGAATAATTATTGCATGCTACAAGACATGCTTTGTGCTATGCTACCATTAATCTCACAATTTTCTCAAAGCAACAATTTTAGCTTCGAAAATGTTGCGTATTTCACGAATATGAAACTGATTTGATTTTCATCCGTCATTTTTTTTCCGTGCTTACTTTTGTGCCGTCAAAGTCTTCGAACTTGGTAAGGAAATCGACTCCGATAGTGGTGATGAAGTCTAATTTGAACTCGTCTTTCGCATATCGCAGCACGAGGGAGGATTTGCCCACCATTGAGTCACCCACCAGCAGAACTTTGAACACGTAGTCGTAATCCAATTTGCCTCCGCCCATTATACTCCGAACAACACTTTTTAGCCCAAGTTTGGAGTAAAATGGTCTGTTACTTATCGAAGCGTAATTTTTTTTTAGTTTTCCGAAATTTCAGAAATTGTAATTTTTTTATTGCTTTGATAGTAGCAGTTGATTATCTTTTTGTGGTCAGCAAATAGTGGTGCGCTTGTTTTATTTTAAATGGACTTAAATATAATTTCGTGGGTCATTACTTAAAACTTCCGATGGGTTCACATGCAGGGGCGGATTTAGGGGGAGGGGGCGGGTTTCGGACGTTTTTTATACTTGGCGCCGAAAGACCCTAAAGTTTTTCCAAAGGCGCCCTCGGCGTGGCCTGTTTTTTCTCAAAATTTTGCCTTCGACCTAAAAAAAGGTCGACAAAATTTCGATAAATTTTTGAAAACAACCCTCAGGAAATCCCTAGATCCGCCCCTGTTCACATGGACGCAGAATTTTCTAGTTTTTCATCTAGTCAGACGCGATTTCTGATTTCAAGAAGCTGGTTTCAGTGATAAAAAATTATCCAGTTTGGCCAATCACAGCGCACCCCTATTTTACGGTGGGACTGAAAAAATAAATTCCTTAGAACTTTTTTAAATGCGACTTTAATATTAACCAGATAATCTACTGTTGCTGATTAGTAAACGTGGATGTATTTTAAAGTTGTCTATATTTGTACAAAATGGTAAACAACAAACATTGGTCATATTTGCGAATAACAAACACATCATACGAAGAACAATAACAAACCACAAATTGATGCAGTACATTTTCTTTTCCCAGCGGTTATTTGAATTGCAACCTAATGGCTACAAGAAGTCATAGTTTTGAAATATCAAAGAGGGGCATAAATATCAAAGAAATGCTCAAAGTTTAGCTACGACCAAATTCCTTTCCCGAGCTCTCCCAATGCACTATAGAGGCCGTATTTTGCCGAAAACTTTTGAAGCAACGGGTCCATAAGCCGTTTTTAGGCAAATTTTGAAAAACTTTTGATGAAAAAGTTTGCTGTTTTTGGCGCACGCTCTTGCTGAAATTAAAAATTTTCTGGCACTGAAAGCGCCAGTAGGAAAAATTAGGGGTTGATCGGTCGAAAATTATTGCCGTTAAATAGTACCAAAAAAAGTGGGGTTTCAGAAATTTTCATTTTTTTAAGGTTTGCGCCATGGAAAAAATGCACCCGATTGATTTGCAAGAAAGACTCCTCCCACCGTATATCGCAGTAAAAAAAAAGCTTTTAAATTTCAATTGTTTTAAGTTTGCTATCATTTTCATTGTAAGCAGTAGTTGGTTGAAGTTATGCTCCAAATAGATGAAAAACGTTAAATTTAGTTTGATCATGTGTCAATGAGAAAAATTTAATTCCAATTTTGTCGTGAAAAGCGAAGTTATTCAGATCCTATTTTTTTTCTTAAGTATTATGGATTTTGAAATAGAAATCACTGCTGAGAGGGATTCAATTTGATTATACCACAATAATATCACAATTGAGTCCTTGATCAATTTTTTTGCGGTAGTCGACCTAAATTTCAGCCAACACGTTAGTTACCCTACTCATTTGTTAGAGGTCGAAACAAAAAATGTCAGATTCTTGTTTTTATTTGAGTCCTTTCTTTTTTTAATTCCGTAGAATTTTGCATCACTTATAATATCAATTGGAAGTTTTTGGTTATGTTAGATGGGTTATGCGAGAGTTAGAAGATTTGTGCATGCTAATGGCTTTGCCAGACACTCCTTGATTTGTCAACTAAAGTTTTCCTCTACAGGGTGTTTTCAAAATTTGCTCTATATAAATTCTCTCTCATTTTTCAAATACTTGGGTTATTGAAATGACTATTTTTGCAGTAGGCAGCAAACATTCTCCCACAAGTTTTGATTATATAATTTATTGAGTTGGATTGTTTTTTTGTTGAAAGCATGTTTCCGCAGTTTAATGATTTTTCACTGCATTCTGTGCTGAACTATCTATCATAATGTTGATTTAAAACAACCGGATAAAAGGAAAAGAAAACAAATATTGGAAACTCGTTTTTCACAAATTTGGTTATATTTGGTCAAAAACTGAACAGAACCAAAAGTGTTTGTGAGGCAATTTTTTGCAACCTTTCGAACCAAAATTATACCCTTAAAATGGGTCAAATCATTTGTTTCAAATATAAAAAAGTAAACAGGGTCAGTAAAGAGTTGACTTTGTGTAACTCTTTAGTTTTCAACCAATTGATTTGACCTGTTTTGCGGGTTTAGTTTTTGTACAAAATATCGCAAAACATTGCACCGCAAAAAGCTGGCGAAGTTCTAAGCGCTTTTCTCCTCCTAATTTTTTGACCAATTATAACACAATTTTGAGAAAACCGTATTTAAAAATGTTTTATTTCATTTTATCTGGCTGTTTTAAACAGGATTACATTTTTTTCAGCAAAATGCAGTAAGGTTTCCTTAAATCGCGGAAACATGCGTGAGCAAAAAATAATTCAGCTCAAACAATTATGTCATCAGAAATCGTTATAGCTTTGCTACATCAAATATTTCTGAACATAGAGTTAATTTCTGATCATCATGCTTTGAGAACACCCTGTAGAGGAAAAAAGAGCTCATTACATTGCTTATATTACATGGAACAAATTTTAGAGAGTGTTTTGTCAGGCCTGCGTAAAATACATAATCATGAATTGATTGTGATCATGGCCCCGATTTTGAAGAAAAGGACGAAAATTTTGTGATTGCGGTGGTTTTCTATTTCAGACAAACTTTCATTCTTAACTTGCTTTTTTACGGATTTGCTTTCTATCATTCGCAATTTGTTTTTGTCTTGAGCTCAGACTTAAAATTTTAAATCACATTTTATCCATTTATATTAATTATATAGGTTTAGATACTGTAAATTTGATCCATTAGAGACAATTAATTTAAAACTTCCAGCATTTCAAATTTTATGGGATTCAGCTTCAAAAATTTTGCACTGTGGCTCAACTCATTATGGTGGAAGTCATGCGCTGCCTGTCGTAATGTCCAAATTCATAAAATTATAAGACATAAGCTTTTTTTTGGGTTTAGAATTTTCACTTGGTACCAGTATTGCAGCCAAAATTGGCCTGGCTGTGGTGGACCTGAAGCGAGAGGTCATGTGGGAGCTCGTCCTCGCACACTATCCTCGCACACGCCGAATCAATTGCACGACCTGATGGTTTCAAAGTGAACGCCTTACCATCATGCTAAGTGCCTCTACTGTTTGTAATACTAGTTTTAACACAAGTTAGAGACCAAATCCGTTAATACAATGAATGAGCTTTGAAACGCTGGCCCAGAAAATCTATTCGGTCATCCGTAAGTTCTAGCAATCAGGATACTACTATTTGGCGGAAATATTTTGAGCCTTTTTGTTTTTTGTAGCAATTTCTTGGTTTGTTGCGTACTCCTGCATATTTTTTCGAAATATTACTTAATTTTTCAACTCCTTGTATGTGAGGCTTATTGTGTTTGTATTTCATCTTCTGAGAAATGAATTTGGCCAGAATTCTTTAACAAATAACCGAAGCATCAAATCAACTGATTTATTCTTTGTGGGATCAAAAAATAAACCTCGTACTTGTGTGGGCCGACGGAGGGGGTTCTCAGCTTTCTGCTCTTTGCACATAATTAATATTAAGCATTTCTTTGTGAAGATAACTGTTTTCTTAGATCTGCACATGTGCTTCTAAAAGTATTTTCACTCAGTATTAAATTTTTTTCCAAGTTCTTATATCTCGCTCACCTGAACCTGTCACTTTTACCCACTGCACCATTGGTCCTTTATTGCAGTGGTTGAATTGTTTTGAGCAAATATGAGGTTGTTGTTCGTTTTTGCTCATGCGGGGCCTCAAAAACTGTAGAGGTGAGCGAGATATAAGATATATAAAAATTTAATACTGAGTGAAAATAATTTTGAAGCATATCGTTTTTTTCCACGCAGGAGAAATTTTATCAACCACTGAATTGGTTTTTAAGGTAATCTTGCTAGCTATCAGGCATCATTCAACAATAGTTTACCTTCCAATCTTAACTCAGTCTCTTTTAATCAAAATGATTGCGCATTTTCAAATCGACCAAAGCTACAAAATGAAAAAAAAATAGTTTCATGGTCCTATCCGAGTCTCGAACTGTCTATATTTGTTTTTCAATCAATTTTGTTTACCACTGCACTATGACTGTTTGCTAAAGACTGACCGTTTGCTACAAAAGAGAAGACAGAGAAGCATAAAAGTGACGAACGGGTCAAATGAGGAAAAAAAAACAATTTTTCTCGAATCATTATCTAACACTCAAAATTCGTGGCAAGTTCATTCAGTTTCTCACATCAGGGATCCCAGTGAAAACCGCATGTCTTAACTTTTTTTCTACTCTAAGCGATATGACCTTTATACGCTTTTTTATGTAGAAAGATATGAAAAAAAAAGAGAAAAATTTTTTCGTCCGAACGAGCTGGAACCCGCTACCCCATGCCTGGGACTGCTCCGCACATCCTCCAGACTATCTTACGGATAGAAATATCAATTAATTTTCAGATTTTAAGTAAATCTATTTAACTCCGTTTTTTCCGAAGAAAAGTGGGAAAATCTCGAGTTGAGGACGTTTTTTAACTAAAGTCAAAGACAATCGTCTACTCTACTCCTCAACACAGGTACACTTGCAAATTTAGAGCCGATTATCTGTTGTAGGTTTCGAGATCAACTTCCCGGCCCGCTTTTTCATGAAGTTTGTTTTCTGTAAAACGCTGGGCCAGGGCCCCTACCCCAGCCCCAACGGCAAAAAGTTGCGCAAACCGCCGACCACTGAAAAAAAAGCTTGTTTTGCTTATTATGTTTCTAGTGTTGAATTTAGTTTTTATAACTGTCAATAAAAAACTCCTACTATAATGGTGTTCTCAAACCATTTTCCAAATTTTATACTGATTAACGAAAAAATTAATCAGTATTGCTATCTACAGGACAATTTTTTGATAAACCCTTTGCGACAAAACAGCTTAATTGATTTATCTATTATCATTCATTGATATGAAAACCTCAACCTCAATTTTTTCTGAAGAATTTTGAATCAAACTATTTCTTTCTAATTCATCTCATTGACTAATATTTGGTAAACATTTTAGACTGAATTATCGTAAAAAGCGGAATTTATCACGATAGGCTTCTGCGGATAGTTGCTCTTCGTTAAAAAGTAAAAAATTTACAAAATTCATTGTGGACACCATTATAATAGAATTGGTACATGATAAAACATACGACTAGTGTCTTTTCTCTTTTTAATTTCAGTGCAACTCAATCAATTTTTCAAGCATTGGATCGTTTTACTCCAAAGTTTTTTCCAGAAACTGTCAACAATTTAAGAAAAAAAATGTTGCACTTCAACTCATCAAAATTTTTGACGAAATACTAAAATAAAAATCTGAATTTCGAAACAAAAAAACTTTCGACGAATTACTTATATTGAAATCTGAACTTCAAAACAAAAAATATTTCATTGATTTTTCCTGTGCATGATTTTAGCTGGAGCATAAATTGCATTTTCTCTTTTTGATAAGACGCGATTTTTCAAAAATTTCAATTTTTAAAAGCTCCTTCTGGATAGATTCGGTAAAATGGAAAACCGATGGCTACTTCTGGTGGCTTCAATATTTCGAGTATTGT